GAGAGCTTTCTTACCGAAATCCCCGTCGCTACCTTTTCTGGTCACGCGTGATCCACGCGCAAGAGCAAAGGGAGGATAAATGGAGCCTGTAGCCTGCCTTCTTGATGAGATACACGTAAACGGCTTTGTCATGCAAATGTGGCTCTAAACCACTTTCATATAAAGCCAGCTTAATGCCGGTGAAACCCGCGTGTCCGTTAGTGCCTGCCCTGTCCTTGAAGCACTGGAAATGAAGACGTTGGTACAGATGTTTGCTCCCTGCCTCCATAGCGAATCGGTGTGACCTTACAGCACAGAAAGAAGTCTTCCTCCCCCGAAGGTCTCCCTCTTCCATGAAACTAATTTAATTTCCTGCCGACCCTCCCCTGCTGCCCTCAGAATAGATCCCTAGTGCCTCTCCGTTCCAGCCCTAACTACCCGCAGTAATTACCTGCATAGTCTCTGTTTCTGCTGTGTCGGAAAACATTTTTACTTCTTTCTAGCATGTCGTCCGTGCTTGGTATTAACTTTCAACAAGAGCCAGCAGAGTGTGCTGTAAACGCTGCGAAAAGAACATCCTGCTTCTGGGAAATTTTTTTTTTTTTTTTTTATATACATATATTAAAACGCGGATGAAGACATTTTAAGTGGTTCAAATATTTGCATGAGTGGTAGGTGGTTCCTCCCGTCAATTAAAATACTTCTCTTGTCACAGATCACAGAACCTCTTCCTTAAAACTTAAGTCATACTAAACTGTCCACTTTCAGCAAGATTGCTTTTCAGTGTTTGTATAAAGTTGGAAAAGTGCCACAATGAACATGTCCAAATGCCTTTCACAGTCAAAGAGAAGAGTCTATAACACAAGGTATTTAATAGATTAAAATATATATTGTAATCCTGGCCTACAGGAAGCAGCTTATGGAATGGTACCGTGTGAGCATACATTTCTCCAATCTCATTACTCTCTCCTTTGGAGTGACTGATGGTGGACTTCCAACGAGATGAATAAATATATTACAAGTGAGTAAAATAAAAGTGGTTTGAAGCAAAGTGTTTACTAGATGACTTGGAAATGGAATTGTTTGCTTGAAAAGCAAGCGCACGTATGCTTGGATTCCTTATTTATTCTGATGTCGCTCTTTTCTCCCTTGTTCTGTGGG